CTGTTGGAGGAGAGGAGAGAGAGGCGCCGTGAGGAGGGCTTGAAGGGGGGTGAGGGGGGGAGGGGCGTAGGTGGTGTCCTGCTGGGGATTTTCCAGAGGGCGTTTCATGGTGTGGTATTGGTCTTGGCATTTTTTTCATATCTTTTTTTTAGATCTGCTTATTTATTTGTTTATTTGTTTCCGGTATCGTTATTGTTATATAATTATAATTACTGTCATTACCATTATCATTAAAATCATCTTCGTAATTGATATCATCATAATTATCCTTACTATTATTATCATAATCATTAACCTTGTCACCATTACTCTCATCATCATCATTACCTTCATCATCCTGCTCATCACCTTCACCATCGTCCTCATTATTAACATCACCTTCACCACCATCATCAACGTCATTATCATCATTCTCGCATTTTATTCGCTTATCTATTTATCCTCTTCGTTGATTATAGATCCAAATGCGAAAAGGGAAATCAGAAAACCACAAACTACTGATAACTTGCAATAACATTTATGACAGCTTAATATTTTTACCCCAGTTGGTTTATCAATCACAAAAAAGGGGGAAAAAATGTGCACATACATTTATATATATTGCTCCTAAAATTCCAGAACGCAAATGATTAGCAATATTTCACTGATATTGGATCAGGTGGAATGCCATAATTATCCATAAAGTTTCCTATTGTAATTTCACATGGTCATTTTATGACATTAATTAATAAATAGCGTAAAGAAAATATGGCTAATGATGAAAACCAAACTCATCATAACTAATTTAAGGGGGGGGGGAGAAGGAGAGGGAAGGGGGGTTCAAGTGAAGGCGAACCATGCAATCTTAAGTTGAGATTAGTTTATCGGTGTTCAGACCATGAGCGGAGATCAAGTTTAATAATGCCATGCCGAGTATGAGAAATCCATATCAGCTTGTCTGTATTTCATATCAACTTTAAAGATTATTACACAAACTTCGGCAACTTGAACGTGTGAAGCGAGGAGAGCGAGGGCAATAGTGAATGAGATAGAGAGAAAAGAGAGAGAAGATGGAGAGGAGAGGTGAGAGAGAGAAAGAGAGATAGATAGAGAGAGAGGGGGAGAGAGCGAGAGAGAAGGAGGGGGGGAGAGAGGAGAGAGGAGAGAGAGGAGGAGGGGAGAGAGAGGAGAGAGATGAAGAGAGAGGAGGGGGAGGCAGATGAGCGAGAGAGAGAGGGGGGAGAGAGGGGAGGGAGAGAGCGGAGAGAGAGAGGGGGGAGAGAGGACAGAAAGAGAAGAGAGCGAGAGAGAGAGGGGAGAGAGCGAGAGAGAGAGAGGGGGGAGAGAGCCGAGAGAGAGAGAGGAGAGAAGAGAGGAGGGAGAAGAGAGAGAGAGAGAGAGAGAGAGAGAGAGAGAGAGAGAGAGAGAGAGAGAGAGAGACAGATGACAGTTTTACAGGGCGTAGTGTTACTCTTCTTAAAATTAATATTCTTAGAAAAAAAAGAAAGACAGTGAAACATAACGTTAATCGCCGAGAGGAATTACGTTCATGAAAGGCCAAGGAAAATTAAACAAATGGCACACGTTCCACTTTATACGATATTTCAGTAATAAAGCCAAGAGCATTGTTGTCATATCTGGTGATAATTATTAGAGCTGTAACAATCATAACCATGATCATATTCATAATCGCAATGATAATGATAACAAAGGAAATAATAATGATAATTATGATAACAAAATGATAATAATAATAATCATAATGATTGTGATAATGATAATGATAATCATCATGATAATGACGATGATAATAATAGTAATAATGATATTATCATTATCATTGTTAATAGTATTATCATTATGGAAATGATAATAAAATTATCATAATGATAACTACTGAGATAATCTTAGTATATTTTAAGAATAAAAGAGGCAATTAGCCAAAAGAACTGCTAATCACCGCCCAAGAAAATGCCGCAGCCTCCCAGCCGCGCCAGACGCCTTCCGATGAATGATTCATCGGCAGCAAACAGCGGGATCATTCGCCCTTCTGTCGAGGCTTTCCCTGCCCTTCTCGCCCGGACGTCTTGGATACTGTAAAGCTCAGGTGCGCCTTCAACACGCCGATAATTGCATCTTAAAGCACAAAGCGGTAATAAATGTTCGTTTAAGCGGCTCTGGCGAGTAACTTCATCTGCAAAAACCCGGGAGCAGTGTACACACGGGCACGGTTTCAGATTTGAATAATACCGAGTAAGCTGTTTCAATATTCTGGCTCGAGGTGGCGCGACAACACGTATGAGATGGTCTCAGAATAGGGAGTATAATAATAACAATGGTAATAATTTCTCCCGGGTGCGCTGCTCAGGATTTATGAAGCAGCGGGAGAGCTCATGCGTGGCGAGACGACTTGCTCCATGTTAGTTTTCTTTGCCTTCCGCCCCGCTCTCCCTTCCCCCTCCGAGCGAGAGACACTTGTCAAGATCAGGTCGTCTGAGTCCAAGCGGCATAACGACCGCGCCAAACGACCGCGACTGCCCGTTGTAGGCAATAAAAGGACATCAAGCGAGGCGACGAGGACCATTACCTGGTTCGCACAGACACGCGAGGTGTGCCACGTCTCGCGGCCGCCCTGCGCTCCTCGTCGGGCTGTTGCCTTAATAAACGCATTAATGCCTCAAAGAATCAGAGTCCGCCCTCCCTCACCCGCGGCTGAGTCATTCTTGCTCGCGTTGGCAAGCCCTAAATCACCTGGCCGGGGAGATAATTCTGCATAATGTGGCGATATCTTTTCCCAGCTCCGCTCTTTACTGATATTATCATTATCTCGACATTCACATGGGATCGTTATCTTCATATTCACACAGACATTTAAAAAAAATCCTGCTGAAATGTGAGGTAACGTTAAGCATTTCTCTTTACAGATGAAGAATGAGACGGAAACTTGCACGAATAAACCCGAGAAAGCGACTGCGAGGCGGAGAGGAAACAAAATGTTCGAGTGAAAGTGTCTGTTGAACCAGACGCGAACCGCTCTCTTTCCTCCTCGCGCCCTGGCGTTGCGCGGAGAAGAACTCTTGAATTAGGTTTTTTTCATTGGTAAAGAAAGGACGTCATCACAAAAACTCTTCTTTCATATGGCGATCTGCAGCATTGTACAGACTTCATGAAACAAATAGATCATCTTTAATAACAAGATAGCCAATCCGAGGCATCTAATCGGCAATCTCCGCCATTCATTCATACGGACGTGTCCTTAATGAAGTCCGTTATACGTCCGTTGCTTCGATCCCGCTGTGTCTGGTTCGCCGCCCGGGATGACTATAAATGCCATGCGCCGCCCACATGACTCACTCCACGTCCCGCGGAGATTGTTTTTGTTGCCTTTGTCTTTGCTAATATCAGCTTTGTTTTGTGTGCCTTTATGCTGTCTCTCAAGGGACATAGAAAGAGAACCTGTCATCCTATCACAGCATCCAAGTCCTAGAGATAAAACAGGACATATCAAACCTGACTTAAAAGTGTTCCGGGGCGAGCACTTGTGGACATTTTGATTTCTGGATGATATTTCGTCGCCGTAATTTTTCGTTCGTCACCGAAAGAGGAAGGCGATGGTGCTCAGGGCCCCCTTCGTGTTAACACAGATATTAGGCAATAATAGGATATTATTACATGTGTGTGTGTACGCGCGCGTGTGTGTGTTATATATATAATTACATATATATACACATATACATACACACACACACACACACACACACACACACACACACACATATATATATATATATTATATTATATATATATATAGATAGATAGATAGATAGATAGATACATAGATAGCCTGAGCCCGAAGCGGATCCTCCGCCCGCGAGCTTCCGAGCCAAACACGGAGATCAGCTCCATCATTCACTGGGACACCTCCTCCAATAACACTCGCGGCGGCGGCGTCGTGTTAATCAGAGTGACAAGCGTCCGACACAACGCTCCTCCTCGCTTGAAGGCCGAGTGGCGGGCCCGCGACCGAGGAATCTCCCTTTATCTATATCTAGGGTTTCTCCATAAAAGGGTTTTGCAACGAATGAAACAGAGATGCAAGGCCAGGCAATACCACGCATTACTCAGTGACGTCCCCTCTACTCCAAGGACCGCAGCCAGATCCTTTGCAAAGAAGATCCTGCAGTACCGAGAGGCGCCTCGGGGCTCGTGACGCAGGCCGTTGCCATAACTCCAGAAGGCAATTTCATGGCTAGGGGCGCCCGCGACGAGACCTTCCGTTAAAGACGTGGGGCGGCGGCGTCTGTAGCGCTGAGTCGCCAGAATGAGAAGGACGAGAGACGCCGCCGATCCCGTAGGACCTTCATCAGAGCCTTGAGCGAAGGGGGAAGGGATCCCGCCCTCCTCCTCCGTCCCTCTCCTCTCTCCTCCCTCCGTCCCCTCGAGCCTCCCTCTCCCTCTCGGTCCCTCTCCCTCTCCTCCCTCCGTCCCTCTCCCTCTCCTCTCCTCCCTCCTCCTCCTCCCCTCTCTCCTCCCTCCGTCCCTCTCCTCTCCTCCCCCCCTCGTCCTCCTCTCCCCCTCTCCCTCTCCCTCTCCTCCGGTCCCTCTCCCTCTCCTCCCTCCTTCCCTCTCCTTTTCCTCCCTCCGTCCCTCTTGCAGTAGGACACGCGCTGGCTCACGGGTTGTCCGGTCAGACTCTGATGATTTACGAAATGCGTAGAGAAATAAGAAAGTCGATAAACAAATTAACCAAATCGTCGGTTCAAAAGAAACCTGCTTCGGGAAATTCATAAAGGAAAAAAAGATGAATTAAGTCGTAACATGAAAATACTCATACGGGTGTCTCTGTCTCTTTGTCTTTCTTTCTCTTTGTCTCTCTGTGTCTGTTTGTTTGTCTATGTCTCTCTCTCTCCCTCTCACTCCCTCCCTCCCTCCTTCTCTTTCTTTCTCTCTCTCTCTTTCCTTCACACGCGCATCTATACGCACACGCGTACATCATGCACACATATGTATATATAATGTAT